CAGCTTTGAACACAGAAGCACAGAGAGACTGCCTTCAGTCTCTGACATAGGGCTTGGAAATCTTCTGCTAGAGATCATAAAAATTGTTGTCAATCAATGTCAACACTATCCAACTAGCTGAACCAATGATCTGAGTTATTATCAGGTAGTCATGATTTGGCATTTGGAAGAACTCAAAGATGAGAACACTGAGTTGCAAAAGTTGTTACCTTTTTCTCCAAGCTTATTATATAGTCGTTTCGGGGACTTAAGGCAAAGAATAATACTCATTGCTCTCCAATCAGTGCTTTGGATCATGGACAATGCTTTTTGCCAGTAATCCAGGAAGCAAAGAGATTTCAGTGGATTTTGTGAGACTTGGAAGGAGACAGCACTGGATCATTGCTTGGGGAAAAAAAACATGGTCACTAAATACTTCCCTGTTGCTCCACGTTTATCATCCATTTCTGTCCTTTAGATTTTTTATGATGTGCTATTTATTTTAACTTTGCAGTCCCTGCATGGATTTCTCTCAAAATTTGCCCATTTCTTGCACAAATATTTCACATTTGTGACCCACATTTATACAGGTTGCTAAAAAAAAATAGTCCTTATCTTGCAAACAAAACAGAATCAAACCACTGTCCATTTTAATTTGAATGTGGGGGAGATGCTGAGTCAGGGTATGTTTGATACCATTTTAGTTGCATAGAGATTTTTTGATTATGGGAAACTACTAAGTAAGTCCTTGTCATGGTTCTGGCTCTATTTGTATATGCATTTTCCTGCAGAGGGCTGTTAATGCACTGTGTGAATTCTTTTCATTGTGTTATTTGAATCATATGATAAAAAAGGGGGAAAAACTGTTTCTACAGCCACCCAAGCACATTCTGCTATTTGAACTGAGAATAGAAGCTTTCAGTGTTGATGGTGCAATTTTAGATAAAACATGATTATACGATTTACTATAAGCCATATGTTAACATTTGCACAAAATGGCATACCTTCTGAAAAAAGACAGTCTTTTGGTGAGGCTTTTCTGTTTGCTTGAATTTTTTTTCTTTTTTCTTTTTTCTTTTGGTATTCCTGTCTTGGGATGATCATGGTAACATTCATAATTCAAGGAACTGTAAAACCTGCTGGAAATTTTGTGTTATGGCACTGATCATTGTGTTCCTCAGCTTTGAAAGAATTATACACAACTCCTAGACACCAAGAGAAAGCCTTCCCATCCTGTATAAATGCCATAGCTTCAGGAGCAAAATTCAGTTTTTGTTCAAGTAATAAATATATCATGTGCTGCCTCATTTGGGGCTTTACAAGAATTTTTAGTAGCTGTTAACTTCCTACAGAAATGCTTGTTTTATTTATTCATTAGATTGATAATGTGTGTTTCCTCTTAAGTGCTCAAGATACAGCACTTATAACATTCCTCTTCCAGTTTTATCCCAACAACAACTTTGTGAAGTAACTTGGGCTGATAGACAATGATTAAAGTTCCCTAATTAACTTCCATGATTGAGAGTCCTACTTTTATTCCAGAACGCTAAACATATTTTCACACTGACTTTCTATATTTGATGTTTATAGATTATATAGACCCATTCATTAATTCTCTATGTTCTCTCAGTTTGGGGAAGACAGTGATGAATTCCTTGTTTATTTCAAATTACTACATATCCATGCTTGTTAGTACATCCAAGTGTTCACCTCCACTTTGCTATGTGTTTGGAAGGTAAACCATACTTACTGCTCTTCACCCATGAAGCAGGAGTGCAGATCAAATAAATAGACAAGCAGATAAAACTTGTGGATCAAAGTCATTTTAAGACATGTGAAATTCTAAATCCAGGGAATTCTGGGAGTTGGAGTCCATATATCTTAAAGCTGCTGAGGCTGAGAAATATTTCTCTACAGGTCCCCTCTTGACTTCTCATGGAGCTTACACATTCTGGCCTATCGAGGCAACCTGGACATTTCTGCCCCTTGCTTTCCATAACTGTTAGGCCCCATTCTCTGTGGTAGATGGAGCAGCCACTACCTGGAGGTTCAGGGACTCCACAAGTGGGACCCATGGGAAGGAAAAGTTTTATATTTCACCTCTGCACTCCTACTAGTAACACGATTGATATTAGTAAAAAGATTCTACTTTGTACTAGGCACGATTGCTGTTTGCACATGCAATCAGTGTATGGGATGATGGGATGAAAGCATAGGATTAGATATTCCTCCCCCTATGCTGGAATTTCCTCCCCATATGCTGAAGTTGCAGAGCAAATCCTAAAGGTAAAGATTTTTTTTTTCCCAATCAAAGTTGATTCCAGGCAATTTCATGGACACATCTGTCACGTAGCTTTATTGGGCAACATTTGAAAGTGGTTTCTTACTGCTTCTGCAGGGATGTCTCTTGATTTCCCTTCCTACTTTATAGATTTGGGGTTTTCCAGGTGATCTCTCATTCAATTTAGATGAACTTTTTTGAGATAATTCAACATTGGCTAAGTCAGGGGTCAGCAACCTGCGGCTCCGGAGCTGCATGCGGCTCTTTGGGCCCTCTGCTGTGGCTCCCTGTCACATTGGCTGGCCCCGCTCCTCACCCTCCCCTCCCAGTCACTCCTCGCCTGGTTTGAGAAGGTAAGGGCGACGGGGGATAGAGAAACGGCCAGGGCAGAGACAGAGAGATACAGAGAAAGGGGGAGAGAGAGAGACCTAGAAAGATACAGAGAGAGAGGGAGGGGGGAAGGGAGGGGGAAGGGAGGGAGAGGGGGAGAGAGAGATATGTCAAAAGGATTTTGTGGTTCCTGGTGTTTTTTAACAACTGGTTCTCTTCCCTAATGACAGGTAGGCGTGGCTAGGGGGGGTCATGTGACTGGCGGGAGTGGGTGACATCGAGTTGGCCATGCCCACTCAGGTTTTGTGGCTCCCAGTGTTTTCTTTTCTGTGGGAAATGGAGTATTTAAGTATTTAAGTATTTATCTTTGAGTATTTAAGGTTGCAGAGCCCTGGGCTAAGTATTGTCTCTTTTGTTGGCTTACAAATCCCACATTGTGGCCGAAATGATTTCCTTGTTAAATCATAAGGATAACATGAAGCCAGGCCCTGGTCTTTTGTTCTACATCTGAAGACCCTCAGACCCTTTTGAATTGGACTTATAACATTGACAGAACAGATCCAAAAAAAGAATTTTATAACTATGTTAAAAAGAGTCATTATTTATCCAAAAGCTTTGTTTCCATAGCAAGTTAGGAGAGTTTTCCATTGACCGGCACTTGTGACACTTCCCAAAGCATATCTATAGAATTACATTGGATTTTAGTGTTGGCATATTCATAACAGCACATTGCCCTATTTTATCTTTGTCTCCAGTTATATTAATACAAAACTTTAAAACTGTATCTATTCTTTGACCTCTACTGTATTTTTCCAGTTTATTTGCTGAGATTTTAAAGAATGTTATTTTTTGGGGGGATAAAATATACATTGGATAACCTTTGTTTTAAAATATAAAACCATTACATTATAGTGATATATTTTAAAATAATATGCATAAACATTTTTCAAAGATATGCAAATAAGGCTAGAAAAACTCTAGAACAGTGTTTCTCAACCTTGGCAACTTTAAGACCTGAGGACTTTAACTCCCAGAATTCCTGACAGCTTGGCTGGCTGGAGAATTCTGGGAGTTGAAGTCCAGTTGTCCTTAAGTTGCCAAGGTTGAGAAACACTGCTCTAGAACTATCTGTTGTAGTTCCTTATGAGTAATTTCTTATTTACTATGCTATTCACTTTGCTAAATATGCAGATGTACTATAAGTTTTGTATCTCGTGTGTTATCTTAACTCAGAAGTAGGTTGTGTTGTATAAAAATAAGGGACGATTAAAATGCATTTTTTTTCAAGTTGTAAAGACTTTTGATTTTGGTTACCTTGTTAAACACCTGCTCTGAGTTTAATGTATAAACTATTCTTTCTTTCTTTCTTTCTTTCTTTCTTTCTTTCTTTCTTTCTTTCTTTCTTTCTTTCTTTCCTTCTTTCTTTCTTTCTTTCTTAGTCCAATTTATATGCTGCCCTTCTCCATAGACTCAGGACGGCTTACAATGCATTATAGCAATAGCCTGCATACTTTTTTGTATATACCTGCTTATTAGGGCTTTCGCCCCCTCCAAGCGGTTCTATACAAAGTTGGCTTATTGCCCCCACAATCCGGGTCCTCAATTTACCTACCTCGAAAGGATGGAAGGCTGAGTCAACCTTGAGCCTGGTGAGATTCGAACTTGCACTAATTGCAGGCAGCTGGCAGCTAAGTGCTAGCACTTTAGTCCGCTGCACCACCAAGGCTTGGTGTCTCAATGATACCAGTTGTATCTTGTTTATGTCAAACATCTACTAATTTCTATTGTTCCAATCATTATATTGTATCTTGCTTATGTCAAACATCTACTAATTTCTATTGTTCCAATCATTATATTCACTATTGGTTTTAATATTTAATATATTTGGCAGCAAAGTGATCAATGAAGTGTCACAGACAGTGGAATATTGTAGAATATATATATGCATGGGTTAGTCATTCCTCTACTTTTGCACAAATCATATATTTCATTGTCTATAAATATCCTGAACTAATATGATTCTTTTAAAGATAAATGCGGGTTCTAAAGTATTTTGTGCATGTAATTTAATAAAGATTTTTTTTAAAAGATTTAACATGGAGTAGCCTAACAAGCTAAGCTGAAGTATCATTTTATTTTGTTAACACAGTAGAATTATGAATCAATGTTATATATTAGCTTTATGGACAGATCATACTTTCAAAGGCATGGCTTGAGCTATACATATTTTTCTTCATATTCTCATATGTATGAATACACACAGAGAGAGATGTTCAGAACTGCTATCATTTAAAAAGGGGAAAATTGTAGTCATAATGGATTCTTCTGGAGTTGTCAAGGAACATAATTTTGACCTACTCCAGATACATGACTCCAGTGCTCTTTTCCTTTATTTTTTTTTCCTAAACAGTACTAGCCAAAAAAGTGATGATGATTATGAAGATTATACTACCAACAAAACCTGGGTGTTGACTCCCAAAGTCCATGAGAGTGATGTTACTCTCATTTTAAATGGTCTGCTGGAGGGGTATGACAACAAACTGAGACCAGATATAGGAGGTGAGAGTGTTGTTTTATTTATTTATTTATTTTAATGGTAATTAGATGGAAAAAGGAAAAATGTTATCTGTGTAATGTTTTGCAATCGGTGTCTATTGTTAAAAATCAATGTTTTTTTTTAACATATATCTTTAAATTTATATCTTTAAAATGTTACAGCTCACAGTGATTTTGAAATATTAATAGCATCTTATTGTACAATATGTTCATTCATTGATCTAAGGGTCTTGAGTCTAAACAGTAAAGTGGGAATTGGGAATCGGCAGCAAGGTATAAGTTTGAGAAGGATATTATATCACTCTGAACAGTTTGTATCTCAATTGAACTGTATCAAGTAATGCTGTTCATGGCTCAAACCATAGAACCCGGACTTAGCTGGTCAGGCTGTATCTTTGCAAAAGATCCTCTATGCAGGTAAACATTTAACTGAATTTAACAACATGCTTTCAATGGTATTAGACTATAATCATAACATAATGTCTGGGATAGATGAGAATAAGGAATTACGGCAAAAAAAAGATTGTGTTGATCTTACAGCAGTGTGGAAAAATGAAGTCAGCTTTAGCACTAGCACTAGCAATAGTACCTAGACTTATATACTGCTCAAAAAAGTAAAGGGAACACAAGCAGAAGACATCCAAGATCTGAATGAATGAAATAGCCTTATTAAATACTTTGTTCTTTACATAAAGTAGTTTATACACTGCTAAAACAACTAAAGAGAACACAAAACTGAATGTAACGAACAAAGTATTTAATAAGGCTATTTCATTCATTCAGATCTCGGATGTCTTCTGCTTGTGTTCCCTTTACTTTTTTGAGCAGTGTATATTGCTCCATTGTACTTTACAACACTCTCTGAGAGCCAACATATTGCCCCCAACAATTGGGGTCCACATTTTACCGATGTGGATGGATGGAAGACTGAGTCAACCTTGAGCCGGTCAGGATCGAACTCCTTGCAGTGGGCAGAGTTGGCCTGCAGTACTGCACTCTAACCATTCCGCCACCACAGCTTTAAAATGAAAGTTTTATTTAATAAAAAAAAATCAAATAAACAAAAATCCTAAAATTGTCAAGGAAACAGTGCACTAGCATTCTGTATTTGACCTGAAACTTTGGGAAGCCTGTGTTAGCGAAATAGCATGATCATAACAAATTGCTTATCCATATCTTTCAGGGAAGCCACCAAGAACAGAATAAGGAGCCTCTCAGATGATAAACAGGAACTGTTATAATAATCTATTCTAAAAAGATATAAGTAACAGGGGGGTAAAAATAGGGAATGATTATTAACCATCCTAATGTAACAACCATTAGTCAATGCAAAACACATGAGAATGGGGTGAGCTAGGATCTTTGGTTGCTTGAAGCAATGAACAAGGTTTCACTTTCTCCCATTTCATATTCAAAACCAGTATGACTGTCAGATGAATTTACTTCAACACAGTCAGTATCTCAGTGTCTTTCACTATATAAGCTACAACAATGTAGAGAGTCTCTTACATCTAATTCTGCTCTTTGAACCTTGCATTGTTGCTGCTCCCTGGCAATGTGACTTGAACTAACTTCAACCCAGTGGCTGCAGTAAAGCTGGCATTTCTTCATTATAATAGAATGGAAGAGCCTTTGTTTGTAGAAAATCTACTTATATGGTTAAAATCTACTTATGTGGTTGCCCTTCTTTCTGCAGCACGATGCCCTTCTGGGGGTCTACTCTCTGAAGATAACAAAAGGAATTTGGAGCATGGGTAGGGGGTGTTGAAATAGTTTCAAGTGAGTTAACAGTAGCAAAAGAAAAGCCAGAGGTTTCAACTATTTGTGTGTATTTGTTATATTTTATTGTGCATCATCCAGAATCATTGCTGTACATAAAATGGGAAGCTATAGAAATTGTATTTATCTATCTATGTATAAATAAATGAATGGCTTTGTTAATGATAAAAGTCAAAGAGCCCAGTGATAAAATGGGACTAAAGTTAACTATAAAGACCAAATTTGTGACAACAGGTACAATCTTAGATTTGACAATGAAGACTATCTTCACCTTTAAATATTTTTACCACAGTCCGAATAGCATAAGCCCAATAGTCATTGGAGAGATTTAGAATTAAAAGACATCAAGAAATTTGGCTCAACATGGTTTTTAGATAAAGCAAAATCAAAATGTGTAATTAATAGCTATTGGTTAAAGGGACTGAGTAAAATTTGGAATAAATTTGTTAAAATTTTAATTCCAGATATAATTTTCTTAGGGAAGACAATTGAAAATTGGCCGATTAAAACTAATATAAGTTGTGATAGGGTAATGGAAGATGAAAATATACAAATTATAATAGATTGGTTAAAAACTTCAGAAAATGAAAGGAGGAAAAAAGAAATCATTGAAAAATTGAGTTTAGAAAAAATGCAGATAGAAAAATGGACTAAGAAAGTAAGGGACAATTGTTTGATAAGTAGAAGTAAAACTGAATTTGAACATTTAGTATTCGAAATTATGAAAGATGAAATTAGGCTAAAGGGACTCGTTAGTAAGATATATAAGATTATAAATTTTGATGGAAAACCACAAAGGGTGATGAAAATGAATTGGGAAAAAGAACTTAATATTAAAATATCAGATTCAGATTGGAATGTGAATTGGAAGAGTAGAATTATGAAGACTTTATCTGTAAGGATTAAAGAGCATAATTATAAGGTTGTTTGGAAATGGTATTTGACTCCATTAAGATTGTCATTGATGGATAACAAAATTAGTAAACAATGTTGGAGATGTGATATGGAATTAGGGATTTATGAACATATGTGGTACAAATGTGATAAAGTTAAAAAGTTTTGGCAACAATTGGAGAAAATGATATTTGAAATGATGGGGAAAGCAATAATATTGAGACAAGAAACTATATTACTGTTGATAATTAAGGAAACAGAACCAACAAAATATGAGAAAGAATTGATTAGAATTATGATTATAATGGGTAGAATTATAATAGCCAGATATTGGAAATTAAATGTGAATTTTAGAATAGAAGAATGGTATTGTGAAATGTGGAAATTAGCTTTAAACGATAAAATGACATGCGATATTAAAATTAGAAATGGTGACTATAAAGAAGATATTTTGTGGAAAATTTGGAAACTATTTGTGGACTATGCGCTGGGAAAATTGGATGCTTCGGTACCTGTACCCCGAGAACGTGGATTTTAGCGATCATGAGGATATATCCGAAGAACCAAATCTTCCTTTCTTATGTATAGCACAGGGTGAAGTATTGTATATGTTGTTTGTAATGTTATTTTAATAAAAAATAAAAAAATAAAAAAAAAGATTTGACAATGAAGAAAATGAAGTAGTAGATGACTTCTGCCTTTTATGATCAAAAATAAAGCCAACCATCAGCCAAGAAATATGGCATAGATTGGCACCCCATAGAATAGAAAACCCTGGAAAAGACATTAAGATGCCAGGATGTGTCTATGCATATAAAAATCACAATCATGCAGAAAATTGTTTTTCCTGTGACTATCTGTAAAAGTGAAAGTTGGATTTGGAAGAAGCAGTTTAGGAAGAGTATTAACACTTTGAACTCTAGTTTTGGAGAAGACTCCTGTGAGTATCAAGGATAGCCAAGAAAACAAACAAATAGATTATTGAACATATCAACCCAGAGTTCATACTTGGCACAAATGACCAGCCTGAAATTATCCTACTTCAGAGACATTATGTGATGTTCTTGCTCTCTGGAGACATCCATAATGCTAAGAAAGATAGAAAGAAAAAGAGGACAACCAACAACAAGGTGGACAGACAATTACAACACTAATGGGTACACCAGTGGAAGACCCAAAGGATCAGATTAGTCTCAGATCACTGCTAGTTTTATGGCACATAATCAATCCAATGATTTGGATAGGATAAACTGATTTGGATGGCCAAAAGGAAAAGAAGCTGAAAGAAGTGGTTTTGAGTTCTAGCCCAGAAGGAAGGAGCTAGGAGAAGAATGAGAAAGCTCCTATCCTGGGACTCTGTGCAGAGAGTTGCAGTGTGTTATTCTGCCAAGAGAGAGGGAAGACTAGAGTTGGCTATATATTGAACATGTACTGTGCTTGTGGAATGGATGGTGCTTATATACTCTATGAGAGAAGACTCAGTTCAGAGCTAGTGTTTGTTGTGGACACGGGGGTTCATTCTGATTGAAATGAATACCTTAGTGTTGCTTAATGTTATTATTGTATCTGTGTTATGCGGTTTCCAAGTTTCTGCACAGCTTCCTAATGATATAACAAAAATTTGAAAAAAAGTCATAAGAGGAGAGGTTTTTAATTTCCCTTATTGAATGTCATTAGGAGGGAAGTTGTCTTTTAAAGCCTTTGCTAGAGGAAGCTTGGGGAGCAGGTTTTTTTTTTTTTTTTTTACAAAGGAGCTGAAAATGAAGCTGCTTGGGTAACTGAAGAATCAGCTCTCAAACTCAGGGTTTCTGTTCAGGTAAAACAGGATTTATATATTTAATTTAAAGTTATTCCATTGAATTAATAATTTATTATAATGATGGGATTATGAGAAACATGGATTCAGGAAGTGGGGGGGAATAATGAAGACTAAAGATCCAGAACTATAATATGAGATGATGCATGAGATGAAGAAAATGAGGGGTTGATTAAAGAAGACATTTTATTTGTGACCGAGTTCTCTTAATACAGTGGCAAGAAGTGGTGATTGCTGTGACTAGAGGAGAAAATTCCTCTCTTCACATTTTTTGAGAAAATCCATCCCAGATTTAAAAACAGTCATTCGAGGGAGGAAAATAGATTGACAGTTTGTCCAGAACTGAAAAGTTGAGACTTGTTCGTTCATGTTTAGCAGAAACATGCCATGCAGTGTTACAATAGGGAAGTGATCAGTGATGAGTTTCACTTACCTTTACTACCAGTTCGCTCGCGTGTGCTTACTTCACTTCTGCAGATCGTATTTGATGACATCTGGGTGGGTGGACGGTGCCTCCCTCTGCTTCTACCGGTTTGCCTGAACTGGGGCGAACCGGTAGCAGCCTACCACTGGAAGTGATGGTAAATATGAAGCGGCTGTTTCTCCTGCTGGTTTCTCCTTTCCTTGGTATCCATGGGACAGTCATGCTTGGTTAATAAGAGCAGCAGAGAATGGAATACTCCAGTTTCATTTTTTTTTTTTTTGAGAGAGAGAGAAGTACATGTGAATCAAAACTGAAATTCTTTTGTGAAAGTTAATGAAACATGTGATTGATTAAATGAGATTATAGAAACAAAATATTATCTTTTAATATTTATTTATTTAATTAAAACATTCATATAGCCACCAGTCTTATGTTGAACTCTAGGCATTCCCAATCAAATATAAATCCAGACATACTTGATTTTAGTCTGATTAATGGTAAACTAGGATTATTATTTATAATTATTAATTCTAATTAATTATGCAATAATACAGATGGAATAAAAATCCATCCCACCCAGACATATTAGAGTTTAGTCTAATTAATAGTACACTATGATTATTTATAATTAATTCTAATTATAATTAAGTATGCAATAATCCATCCCACTTCTTTAGTGCAGAAACTAATTTACATAGTGTTACAATATTAATACTGTATTTGCTAATGGAAAAAGATAATATTTCACATTAGCTTTGTATTTTCTCTTCTTTACTTTTAAAAAACTTGAAATTATGTTTTTTGGGCACAGTAATGTTTCATTTAGTATTCTTTTAAGCAACCTGGATGTTAATATTTGTAGGAACAATGATTTGTAACTACTATGGTATTATGTCTAGTAAGCAAATCTGCATGCTCTGTTTCCTTCATTATTGCTATATATATATTTTAAAGGCTTCATTCATTTTAATGTTATTTACTGTAGTGGAATTAGTGGCTCTTATTCAGTGTTATCATATAGCAGTAAGGTTCATGAGCAATAATGGGTTTCAAAACCCGGCGCTACTGGTTCGCTATCGGTAGACTGCGGGCGCGAATGCACAGATCGTTTTTGATGACGTCTGGATGGGTGGGCGGAGCCTCCCACCGCCGCCACTACCGGTTCGCCCAAAGCAGGGCGAACCGGGAGCAACCCACCACTGTTCATGAGACCTAGTTGTTAATATCACATGTTACTGTACAAGTAAGTGAAAAAAATCAGATTATTTCTTCTCTGCCTAGACAAGCTGACTTTTTCAGGCAGAGGGGAAGGAAAGACCAGCCATATGTTATAGGAATAAGACTTTGCAAACACAAGCAGATAGCTACTTTGGGTGTTCTGCCTAGACAGCTTGTTTAGACAGAGAAGGGGGAAATAAAGTTTTTTTCTTAGTTACAACTGTTTAAAAATAGTAGAATTTAGAACATCTAAGGAGGAATTAACTTCTATTGATTCCTTATTAACTGAACTCCAAGTGCATAACTTAGGTTTATGGATTAAATTAGTCTCAACGTTTTATATATACATTTGCTATTTAGTTCAGTATGACACTGCACACAAGGCTTGTTAAATCTGAGTTGTGAACAGAAGTCCAACTGGTGAGTTTAGAATTGCAATGAAGCCTCTTAACTAGTAAATCCTTAAATGTCATCTAACCGTGTATCATATTGACAGTATTAAAAGCTAAATAAGAGAAAAATGCCTCCAAGTGCTTTTATTTTTACCATGTTTGTTCTAGAAGGATATCAGGTTGTTTTCTCTTATGTTATCAGTTGTTTCAGAAAAGCAATCAGAACTAAATTATCAATTTTTATTACAAAATTATCACATTATAAGTTAAAAATGTCAATAATTAGAATTGTAAATATGCTAAGTATAAATACAAGTCTAAAGTAAACATTATGCTATAATTTATATAAATTATTGACTTTTACGATCGAATTGCCAACCTTTTATTATCAATAAATATCATTGTTTACATGGAAAAAAATGTTTCTTCTGTCAATCTTATATTCCAAAACCACTGAATTTCTAAAGGGTTTTCATCTAATTTTAGTTAAATTTAATTATTTAGAACAGATTCCCAATGTTGTAATTTCAGGATGATGAAAAAGATCAGTCCTCATTGAAAGACAAAGTCTTTTCTTATTGACAGTTTTGTTTATATTTTCTTTAATAGAAGTAATACAGCTTTTTTAAAACATTCATTGGAGTGTTGCTGCTTCATTACTTTGTTAATTTGAATGGCTAACATCATTAATTATTGTTGGAATTGTGTTTAATTTACAGTTTTACTCTTATTGTTTCTGTTACAGTGCAACCAACAGTAATTCACACTGATATGTATGTCAATAGCATTGGCCCAGTGAATGCAATCAATATGGTATGTAATAGCTCTTCATAGATTTTTGTCAGAGTTTATTGAAGATTGTCATTAGTGAATTCAGATCATTACTACATATAAATAATATATGTTAACATGCCACTGCCTTAGACACATTTATAGAAAAAAAATGAGTAGAAATTATATTTCTTGCCTGTTTGTCAATATAGGTATTTCCTGTTCTGAGGATAGAGTGGGAAATATGGGTATTGATGAAAATGAAATGTCCTTTAATTGATTCTGTCTTGATATCAACTTGGCTAAAAGCAAGATGAAATTTGACTGGTTCTGTAAAGCTAGATAAGAGTATGCTCACTAGTTGAATAGACAGAGCAACAAAGATGGTTAGGGGATTGGAGGCTAAAAAATATTTATTTATTTATTTATTTATTTATTTATTTATTTATTTATTTATTTGGCAGGACCCAGTTGTGGGGGCAATAAGCTGACTTTGTATAAATATACAAAAGGATGAAGGCTATTGCTGAGCACATTGTAAGCTGCCCTGAGTCTTCGGAGAAGGGCGGCATATAAATCAAATAATAAAAAAAAAATTATATGCTGCCCTTCTCCTGAAGAACTAGGGTGGCGAACACAAGTTAAAAACATTCAATGATAAAATAATAAAATCCCATTAAAACCAAATTAAAATCAATAAATAATAAAACCCAAGAATCAGCATCAGCCCATTTGTTGGAATAGCCAAGTCTTCAGGCCTTGACAGAAGGAGCAGAGATCTGGGGCCGTCCGGAGCTTGGTGGGTAGTTTGTTCCAAAGGGTAGGGGCACCCACGGAGAACGCTTTACCCCTGGGCGTCGCCAGATGGCATTGCCTGGTCGACGGTACCCTGGGGTACCCCGGCTCTGTGAGAGCGGAAAAAATATGAAGAATAATTGCAGGAACTAAGAATGTCTGACAAAGAAAAAGACTAGGGTTGACATGTTTGCAGTCTTCTGATATTTAAGGAGCTGTCAGAAAGAAGAAGGGCTCAACCAAAGCACTTGAAGGCAAGATAAGAAATAACATATGGACACTTATTAAGGAGAGATCCAATCTAAAATTAAGGAGACATTTCCTTAAAACTAAGGAGGATGAACAATTCATTAGTGGAATAACTTGCCTCCAGAAGTTGTAGATGCTCCATCACTGAGAGATTGGACAGCCATTTGTCTAGAATGGGATAGGATCTTATGCTTGAGCAAAAGGTTGAATCAGAAGACCTCCAAGGTCCCTTCCAACTCTGTTATTCTGACACAATTTAGGGATAGATTTTTCCTGTTCCACCTGCACAACTCTTCTTGCATAGCCTGGATCTCTGCTGAAGTGGCTGAATTCTCTTCAGCAAAAGAGCTATCAAAGTTTTGAGAAGTAATTTCATAAAGACTTTGTACTGAGATCTTGCAGTTCTCCCTTAACACATTCTGTTATTACTGCAGGAATACACAATTGATATATTTTTTGCCCAAACCTGGTATGATAGACGACTAAGATTCAACAGCACTATAAAAGTTCTGAGGTTGAATAGCAACATGGTGGGGAAGATCTGGATTCCTGATACATTCTTTCGAAACTCAAAAAAAGCAGATGCACACTGGATAACAACACCCAATCGAATGCTTAGGATCTGGAATGACGGCAGGGTTCTCTACACCCTCAGGTATTTTCATAGTTAATCTATTGTTTCCAGTGCTCAGAACTTATTGGATGTGTCCATGTGGACAAAGAAGGCATCATACATACTGACTATCCAATGTCTTGAATATTTCAGCCAAAATTAAGTGAGCATGTTTGTTGCTAGAGCAGAACTAATGATAGAATAGTTAGAACCTAAGAATCAGAGCATGAAATAAGATATTTACTATCTGTCAAACTGGTCCCAAAGTATTTTAAGAAGAATAAAATGACATCAACCAATGCACTGCCATGTAATGAAAAGATATGAGTGGACAAGAACTGAAAACATCTCCTCCTCTCTAGCTGCCCCCCCCCTCTCCAATTCTCTTATCTTAGTATGCAAACAACTATCAGTAGGATAAAATGTGCATTTTAAATGGAGTTTCTCTGCAGTATTGATATGTGCCCATCTCCTTTCTCTCATTGCTTGACAGGAAACTAAGAGCACATGATCTGCAGCTATTTGAGGGCTGCTTGCAGCACTGTGAACAAAAAAAGCAATCTCAGTAACAATAACTTGATAAAAAAAAATCAAAGTGTCCGAGGTTTTGGATGGGAATAGTTGTAATTGTTCCAAATAGCAAATATTGCCAATTCCTGTGTATCTGCCGAGTTGTATAGTCTCACAGCCCTCAAGATCTACAAGAACTAAATACAGGAATACAGCATAACATAGCTTTTACAATTTTGCACAGTAGACTATTCACAGTTGATTCTTAAGTCTAGAAATAAGTTAATTCTCATTGGCTCCATGATATTTCCTTGGAAGCCTAATATAAGAACCACGCTTGCCATGGTAGCTCTGAAAGATAGCTAATTTAAACAGTAAGTTTCAAAAGCACATGGAGGTGAGAAGACAAGCATGATTTATACACCTAAAGAGTCTAGAGAGGCAGGACATGTTCCTGCTGGTCAACATTTCATGGTAAAAACCTAATTGTGACTGCGCAGAAGTTATTACACTGAGCTAAGTAGCCTTTACCCTCAAGTAAAGATATAGAAGCCTGCATCCATTATGTAATAACAAAGGAAGTACAAGAATGATGATAGGTGCATCATATAGTAATCAAAGTATATTAAAAGGAACATTGGAAGGAATTAATGATAAGGGAGAAATTAATGCCATTCATGGTTTAATTCTTTGTACTGAAATTGTGTAATGAAATGGTTAGAGTATAAGACTATGGACAGTTACTTGCAAAAAATCATATAAAATGTATACATAGTATAATACATATATATGAATCGTGTAACAAATTAAAAAGAAGTATATGGCACTGATGATGTTACCTATTTAGGTAATGAAATCTCTGTAAGCAAACAACCAAGCTCAGAGGGCACCAAGGATTCCACAGTTTGACCATGGATTACATACATTTTCTTTTATTAAAAACTGCATATATTTAAGATAAGATGCATTAAGAGAACTGCATACAAAAATGCATATGGATTTTCAAGCTTCTTCTTACCCATTCCCAAACGAATATAAAAATAGAGTTGGGACAAATTTCTGCTCCAAGGTGAAGAAATAGTCTATGAAGAACAAAGGCTGTAAGCATATTTTATGTACTCAAGGAACACTTCTCAGGGTTTTAGCAGAGATAAAGTATTGTGCATGAACACATATTGACTATTGTCATAGTTACAGTAAGAATTGGTAGGCTGAGAACAGTACAAATAGAAATAACATCTGTCTTTGTTTATTTTCAGACTGACAATAGATGCAGAGTGTCAACTACAGTTACACAATTTTCCAATGGATGAACACTCTTGTCCCTTGGCATTTTCAAGCTGTAAGTAGTCAACAATGGGATTATCCTTATGAAAGAAAGAGGAAAATAATAATAGTAAAAAATAATAATAATAAAGCTTAATATCAGAATAATCAGATAAAGCTGACAATGTAATACATAGTATGTTTTTGTGTCAATGTGCAGCAACAATCAATACTAAAATTACTGTTTAGATCAGAGGTTCTCAACCTTCCTAATGCCGCGACCCTTTAATACAGTTCCTCATGTTGTGGTGACCCCCAACCAGGGGTGGGTTCTAAATTTTTTTACTACCGGTTCTGTGGGCATGGCTTATTTTGTGGGCGTGGCTTAGAGGTCATGTGACTGGGTGGACGTGGCTAGCTCGTCATGTGACCGGGTGGCCATAGCTATGTGTATAGGGACTACTCAGAGGGCTGAAAAAAGTCATTTCTGACAGGTCCTAACACTTTTGACTGGTCCTCACACTTATGACCATCCTCACATTTATGCCTGTGCAGCATTCTTAACAACCATGTCACTCATTTCCCAACTACTTCTTTTCACCATGGTGATAAGATAGGGCAAAAAACGTAAAATGTGAGGACAGTCGTAAATTCGAGAACTGGTCAAAAGTGCGAGGACCAGTCAAAAAAAACTTTTTCAACCCTCTGAGTAGTCCATGTGCACAAAAGGACTACCCAGGGGCTGAAAAAAGTGATTTCTGACAGGTCCTCGAACTTTTGACCGGTCTTCGCACTTATGACTGGTCATCATTTATGCCCATTCTACCATTCTTAACAACCGTGTCACTCATTTCACAACTGCTTCTCTTCACCATGGTGACAAGATAGGGCAAAAACGTAAAATGTGAGGACAGTTGTAAGTTCGAGGATTGGTCAAAAGTGCGAGGACCAGTCAAAAATAACTTTTTCAGCCCTCTGAGTAGTCCATATGCATAAAAGGATACAGCAATAGAGAGGGATGAAGGAAGGGAAGGGAAATTAGAGTAGGAGTGAGGGTAAGAGAGGAAGGAAGACAGGAGGAGAAGGAGAAAGGAAGAGAAAGTAGGGAGGAGAAGAGGGGGGGAAGAGAAAGTAAGAAGGATAGAAAAGAGAGAGGTGGTAGGTTTCAGGAGAAAGATTGCTGTACAATAAAAAAGATGAAAGGGAAGAAAACCAACCCCAAACAAATATGAAGACCTATCCTGAAGCTGAAAGGGGCTGTTTTTTCTATTTTTCAGGCACCGGTCTACTCATTTGTTTTCTTTTAACACTGATCAGCTGTAGGGTGGCCCTTTGAAGCCCCACGGCAAGAATTTAAACAGTTTTTTTCCCTATAGCCAACAGCTGGGACTCAGGAGGCAGCAATAGATTGGGAGTGGGCGGGGTAAGCGAACGGCCGGCGATCCAACAGAGGCAGAGAGTGAGAGTGAGTGAAGGTGTGGGGGGGCAAGAGAGGGCTTTGGCGACCCCTGTGAAATGGCCGTTTGACCCCCAAAGGGGTCGCGACCCCCAGGTTAAGAACCGCTGGTTTAAATGAACACATTGCTCTTGATTTTTATGAGAAATCTAGGGCATTTGTCTATAAATCACTGGACTATTTTCAAACAATAGCTATATAGTTAAATAAATATGAGGCTACCAAGTACTGTTGAACTCCAACTAAGGAGAAATATTGCTGCCAAAAAATACGCTACCAATTCAGATTTCACAGGTTTATAAATTCATCATATCTGTGTCCCAACCTTCTTCTAAGCTCAGGAATAGGTGAGGTTATGATGCCCAGGGTTAAATAAAGTTGACTTTACCATTAAATGAACTGAATGGAATGAAGAGATTGTCTCAGATGAAAATGGTTTATTGTCCCTCCATTTTCTAAACTCATCTGCTTTTTTAAAATCATGATTAATGCTGAAGGTTTCATATGCCTTTTGTACAAGAGTAAAATGTCTTAGGCAAGCATTGGGTTCCTCCTATTTTATCGTCATGTATGTCAGCAAAGTGAATTGAACAGGGATAGTGAGACTGACTCATTAAACTTCACAGCTAACTGGGGAATGGCATCTAGAAATCCTCACTGCCAAATCCAGTGAAGGGTCCAGAGCATATAATATCTCTCTCTGCAGAATAAAGCATAGAAAAGTGCACATTTTATGTTTTTGGTTATTATTTAATTTAATAGTGCTTCTCTCAGATATCTAGCAAAGCAATTCATCTTTACAGATTGTCGTGAACATTAGCATACATGTTCCTGATAAACTCCATCACTTTTAAAAAGCCATTATGGGGATTGGGGATAATAATAATAATAATCTTATTTCTATACCGCCCTTCTCCCGGAGGACTCAGGGCGGTGTACAGCCTATTAAAAGCACAAAGACAAACATCAATTAAAAATAATTAAAATTATTAAATAGTTTTGGCTCAAATTTAAAACCCCCCAAATTTAAAACATCTAATTTAAAATCATTACATTGATAGCCCGGCAGAACAGCAGGGTCTTGAGGGCACAGCAAAATACACGGAGGTCGGAAATCTTATGCATTTCCGGGGGCAGTTCATTCCACAGGGCAGAGGCTCCCACAGAGAAGGCCCTCCCCCTGGATGTCGCCAGCCGACATAACTTGGCCAATGGCATTCTGAGGAGACCCTCTCTGTGGGAGCAGACTGGCCGGTGGGAGGCTATTGGTGGCAGAAGTCAGTCTCGAAGGTACCCGGGTGACTAGTGAAGTTTCCTCTTAAGAAAAAGAACATTTACAATTTGATATAGTGGAACCTGTCAGACATTTGACATAGTCATGTTTTTTCCATGATGGTTTGTAACTGTAAAATCTCTTTCTGAAGTTCTTGTTGCTTTGGGTTTTAGATGAATTTAATAAGCATTGTGTTGAAAATGGCTGAAAGTCATACAAGTGCATCTATAGTATCACTGAGACCCACACATAAATAGGAAAGTACTAACATGTAAATAAGGAAGCACTAGCACATAGAAATATATTGATGTAATCCCGATTTCCCTTGGTTTGAAGATGGCTACCCAAAGGAAGAAATAATCTATATGTGGAAACGCAGTTCCGTGGAAGTGGGAGATACTAGATCCTGGAGGCTCTATCAGTTCTCATTTATTGGACTTAGAAATACAACTGAAGTGGTTCCAACAACATCAGGTAAGTTAAGTAACTATACTTTCATCATATTTTCACCAATTTCATGAATAAAGATAAAGGAGTTCCTGCAGGTTTAACTCTGCTATTGTTGATGATCATAGGGGGCGGTGCTCAGCTCCATTTCAAGGCCATTGAGCCAGCGTTGTTGGAAGACATTTCCAAGGTCACGTGGCCAGCATGACATCATGGAGCACTGTTACCTTCCCACTGTAGTGATACCTAATTATCTATTTGCATTTGCATGCTTTTGAACTGCTAAATTGGCAGGAGTTAGGGCAAGACAGTAGCTCACCTTGTCATATGGCGCTTGGGACTCAAACGTGGGCTGCTGGCTTTCCAGCCAACAAGCCCAATGTCTTAACCACTGAGTCACCATGCCGTCCTATTGTCATGAATAATCCAGATGAATAGTAGCTTATCATATTTGCAGTTGATATGAAACTGGGTGGGGTGGCTTAAACAGATCATAGAAAGAAAAACTAGCTTTATAAATTAGAGAAATTAGCTGAAAATAAACATGTAAAATTTAATATACACCAATGCAAAGTGTTTTCACTTAGGGAACACAATTTAAAGGAACAGGTGTAGGATTGAGGGGGGAGAGAAAGGGCTGCCTTGATTAGATAATGGCATGTAATTGTGATGCAGATTTTGGAATAGTGATTGGTTGGAAACAGTCTAATATTACTGGGGAAAAAAGCAAATGCAGTTTTACTGTGATTTCGGAATCCTGGGAAATAGTACTTCTACTTTATTTTGTTTTGGCCAGATTCCATATCAGCTACAGTGTCCAGCTCTGTGCACCACATTTTAAGAAAGACATAAATAAACTGACCAGTGAAGAGATGGGTAGCAAGAATGAACTAAGAAAACTTAGTCTTAGAAGGACAGACTAAGGAAACTGGAAAGATCCGTGAAAAATGGTTGTTGGGGAATATGATTTGTTGTTATTAGTTGCGAAGTCGTGTCCGAAACCATCGCGACCCCATTGACAATGTTCTTCCAGGCCTTCCTGTCCTCTACCATCCCCTCAAATCCATTTAAGCTCACACCTACTGCTTCAGTGACTCCATCCAACCACCTTGTTCTCTGTCGTCCCCTTCTTCTTTTTCCCTCAATCATTCTCAGCATTGGGGAATAAGATAGGGCTTTCCAAAGAGTAGAATGGTTATCTCAAAAAGAAAGACCTATTGTTCAAGAAATGGAGCAATAATTTTAAGTTACAGGATGTAAATTAACAGTAAGTGAAAGGTGTTTGCTAGTAGAACATTTATAAAAAGCAGTGGGTGCATTTTTCCCCCAATTAGATATGTTAAAGCTAAAGTTTGGCAGCCACTGATGCTTTAATTTGAATTCCTGGACTGAGCAAATATTTGGACTCCTTTAGTGGCCTCTTCCAATTCTATGAAGCTTTAATCTATAGGGTTATCTCCCTACCCAACACTGGCAATATCCATCTTAGTCTTTGTGCTTTTAGCTTGAAGAGATATTCTGTTCATTTGGATTAACATATTCAGAAAATGATCTGTAATGGGGAGCCTGCTTCTAATCTTATTCATCCAAACATTTATAGATGATCATTTCTAGCTTGAATCAACAAAGATGAAAGAAAGAGTGACAGTTGGCATCGTATATAAAGTTGTTAGAGTGAGGATGGTGTTCTTGTACCTTCCTCATTGTCCCCAATTTTGGCCCTTAAAAATAGAGATAACATTCCAAGATAAACACATTACATAGAGAAAATTTACCTTGTAGACTATGATTGATAATGAAATAAATGATGGGCATCCCAAAGGCTGAAGAAATAATTTAATTTTTGATGAGATTTACAGGGAGTGACGGCAATCATGCAAAATGAATAAGGCCTCAGCACTTGGTATTACAGTTTCCATTTTTGTTTTTCTTTAGTTTCTAAGAAAGGGGTTTTTTTTTTTTGTTATTTTATGGTGTTAAACCTACCTAAAGTTCATTTAGTTTATTGATTAGCTCATAGGCCAGTGGTGAGTTCCTCTCGGTTTGGCCCAGTTCGGCTGAACCAGTAGCGGTGACGATATGACGTCACCGAACCGGTTCTTCCCCCCTGGCCCCCTCCCTCCCCCACCCCCTGGGTTATTCTTACCTTTTATTTGGCCCCACCCCCAATCTATTGCTGCCTCCTGAGTCCCAGCTGATGGCTAGAGGGAAAAACATTGTTTAAACTCTTGCCGCGGGGCTTCAAAGGGCCGCCCTACAGCTGATTAGTGTTAAAAGAAAACAAATGAGTAGACCGGTGCCTGCAAAAATAAATGGGTAAACCCAGTGGTGGGATTCTACTTCGGTAGAACCAATTGTTAAGTAGTTAAGTAGTTAAATAGTTAAGCAGTTTGAGAACTGGTTTTTAAAAGAAATCTCCTTTTGTTTTTTTCCACTTTACAGGGTTAATCCTGTAAGGATTAATTACAACATTTGGCTGTTTCCTAGCCTAATCTTTATTACAGAAACTGCCTCTCCTAGAGTTACTGTCACTTCTGGTTCCGGAGGCTATTTTTTTGCTTGACTTTCTTAAAGGGGAACGGTTGTTTTAAGCTTTTTACACCGCTGTTGGGAGGAAATACTCCCCTGTTGGAGTTCTTCCAGCCAGGGTGCAATCATCAGCACTTTGAAGAAATAATTGAATCCTTTTGTGCATATTGTGCATGTTGTTTTAAGCTTTTTACACCGCTGTTGGGAGGAAATACTCCCCTGTTGGAGTTCTTCCAGCCGGGGTGCAATCATCAGCACTTTGAAGAAATAATTGAATCCTTTTGTGCATATGGACTACTCAGAGGGCTAAAAAAGTTATTTTTCACTGGTCCTCAAACTTATGACTGTCCTCACATTTTACGTTTTTCGCCCTATCTTGTCACCATGGTGAAGAGAAGCAGTTGTGAAATGAGTGACATGGTTGTTAAGAATGCTGCATGGGCATAAATGTGAGGATGGTCACAAGTGTGAGGACCAGTCAAAAGTACGAGGACCTATAGAAATGACTTTTTTCAGCCCTCTGAGTAATCCCTATAGACATAGCCATGGCCACCTGGTCACATGACCAGCTATCCATGCCCACCCAGTCACATGACCTCCAAGCCATGCCCACAAAATAAGCCACACCCACAGAACTGGTAGTAAAAAATTTTAGAACCCACCCCTGCCATAGGCAGAGGTGGGATTCAGCCAGTTCGCACCACTTCGGGAGAACCGGTTGTTAACTTTCTGAGCAGTTTGGCAAACTGGTTGTTGGAAGAAATCATTAGGGCAGAGAACCGGTTGTTAAATTACTTGAATCCCACCACTGGCCATAGGCCATATCAAAATACAGAGCTCCAAACACAAATTATTAATAAAATCCTATAAAAACAGTTTAAAATGAAATTGGAGTAAAATATAATACTTTTATATATGGATAAGTGAAATAAGATAAAATTATATTTCAGTATCACCCCTATAATTTACCCCTATCAGTCCCACATATGCCAATCTCAATTGAAACATTTTACTCAAGTACTATGCTGTACTAAATGTTGTTTTCAAATTCTGGCTGCACATAAGTTATGTTGTTTTAATAAGGGTTCCCAATGGGTCAATGTATGAACCAAGATACTTGTCTCTTACCTTCTTATATAAACAACAATCAAATAGTGTGTGAGCCAAGTCTTCTACCTCTGCTACTTCCGAAATGCAAATACATCCATTTATGGTATAGAATGGAATTTCCCATATATGACATTGTATCAAGCTGTTCGAAAGCCACTTAAAGATTTAGACTACAGCTTTCATGGACTTCTCACTTCAAAATTACCATCAGTGATTGGCAGTTATGGCCTGGAAGGGCATTGGGAGACACAAGAATGGTACTGAGGCCACAGATTGCTTCACTTACTTGACCGACTCTGTCATAGAAAATATGGAAAACAGCAGGCAAAAGTATAAACTCTAAGCATGAATTCAGAAGTTTTAATCTAGGCTAAATCATCTACATTCTGAATATAGTTTCTTGAGCAATATGAAGAAGAGAACACATGAACATGATTTATTGGAGTCTGTCATCACAAAATGATATTTTTATCCCGTTGCACAATAAAAGGTATTCAAGGACCCCTCTTGTGATTAAATGCCATGACTCCTTTTCTAATACACTTTTGGAGTGGCAGTACTCCATTTTGCTTATGCTTGGATTGCAGCAATAAATTGAGCAATCACTTACTAAATGATGATTGATTTTTTCTGTAGGGTAGATAAGAGGTCTTATAGTTACAGTTTTCCATTTTACCTTGCGCTGTATGATCTTTAGTATGCACATGTAATAGACTCCGAAATGACAAAAGGTTAGCGGTTCAGAAGGTTAGCCCAAAACTTTATTTGGGGGAAAAAACCTCAGTTAAGGTTGTAAAAAACTTCCAATTGGTGACTCAATGTACTCATCAAATTATCATCTTTTATGTGCCATAGATTCCTTAGCTTGGAAAGCACATTTTCAAAATAGAATTGGGAAGAATAGGATTCATGCTTTTACACATTTGATCTTGAAACCTATTATGGTATCAGAACAATGTTTGAACTTGGAAAGCATTTTTTTTTTTTGAAAAATTCTATGCCAGTAGTGATGGTAGGAATGGGAATAGGAATAAGGAGGTGGTGGTGATGGTGAAGGAGGAGGAGTTATTCAACCTACCTCTTACAAGCAACAAGCTTGAACATGTGCTTTGTATCCCAGAATTGTGATACTTGCAGTATTTTTGGAGGGAGGAGAGTATGTGGAAATTGTGCCAATTGATGATCAGAATAATCCTTTAAAGGCAGTCCTGCCAATCAATAAATTATCCATGGTCATATTCTGAATAAAGAAAGGATGGTTGCAACTAAGTGGTAAGACTTTAATTAGCATTGGTACTTCTGAAATATTTAATTCCAGAATAAACAGAGCTTTAATTAGCCTAATCTGGAAGAGGGTGAAATGATTGTATTTAGGGAAGCAATTATAG